CGTAAAGTTGTATTTGGAAAGAATAAACCAGTTTTATTTAAGAGAGGACTTGTGTCGCTAAAGTTTCGTCGGAACGAATTTACGGAAAATTAATTAACGACTGGAGGCGTTACAATATTTATTTTTTTCTTAACGGCGGGTGTTCAAGAACAGTTATTTACTAATATTTCGCTAGTGAGACACTCGGAAGCAAATAACAACGCGTGTTCTTTGTTTAACGAAATACAAAAACCCTCATTTGTACTTTAACTTTATTAACTTATTGCTAGATCATAGAAACTTGAATTACTTGGTTGCCAAGCTGGTCATGTGAATAGACTGAATTTGTTCGATTTACAGTTTTCGTCGTGAGTAGAACAAGAAAGTATTTCCGCAAGAGTCTTAACTGACTCATATCATAGTTAAAGAAGTTTAACAGGAACCCCACCATCTAACGTTTAACTTTTATACAGGATATTAATTAAATATAAAAACAGTTTGAAACCGAGTGGACAAACATTTAACTGTGTGTGTTTTCTTACAGCAAAGCCACATCGGGCTATCTACTGTGTCCACCAATGGAAATCGAACCGCAGATTTTAGCGTTGTAATAACTGAAGACTTTACTGCTGCCCAACCGGTAAACCAAACATATAATACGCTCCACACACTATCTATGTCTCTACTTCGACGTTAAGTTTGCTACACAGTTTATATTTTCAGCTTTAGGTATATCATACAAATTCGTATTGTACAGATGTCGCTGCGTTAGGTATCGCGATTGTATGATAAGCATATAAGTGTGGTAGAAATCGTATGGTAAGGTTAACTTATTTTAACTTTGTATAATAAAAGTTGTACATATATACAAAAATATAATTATAATGGAATTAAAGTACATTGCGAGATTGAAGGCATTCAAATATAACAGGGTAATATGCCTGCAATTGTCTTCTCTTGATAAAATTAATTTAAAAAGTTTACTAATTTTACTTTTTTTTAGAGCAAAACCACATTGGGCTGTCTGGGCATCACGAGTGTTCTAATATCTGATTTTAGCGTTGTACATCCGTATACTTCAAAAGAATAGCAAGAGGGGGTGTCATTGAAGCGTTTTAGATCGGAGAATGGATAGCATTAATGCATCGTCTTTTTTCATACTTATTATAATTTATACTTATAATATTGATAAGAGGAAAGGTGGAACTAGAGGACGTAAATATAAATTTTTGATGAAAATATAACAATGTTTAGGGACAACATGGAACATATTGGCCCATCTCGGCTGTCCCATTCTTTAAACTAAACTAAAACTATTATGAAAAATTAAAAAAATCTTAAATTCAGCCCTTATGATTCATATACTTATCAAGCTTTCTCCTAAACTCACTTTAATTACTGCCTCTACAACATCCGAAGACAATCTATACCAAAAAACAACCACTCTGTTAGAAAAATAAAACTGTCATAGCTGAAGATGACTCCTATCTTACAAAAATTTATATTTGTACCCCCTAGTCCTACTGTTAAATATGAAAAAAGATTATGCATCAACACTATCAATTCCCTTTACAATCTTAAACACCTCAATCAGATCCCCCTATCTCTTCTTTTTCAAAAAATAAACAATTTGGGAGATTTCAGCCTCTCCTTGTATGACAACCTCTCCATCTCAGACAACATTCTGGTAACCCTTCTCTGAACCCTTTCCAAGAATTAAATGTCTTTCCTAAGGTAAGGAGCCCAAGACTAAACACAGTACTCCAAATGTGGCCTTACCAGTGACCTGTACAATGAAATTATAACCTCTTTAGACTTGTATTCAATATTTCTATAGATACGACCTAAAATTCTATTGGTCCTACCACTAGCAACAGCACACTGCTTGGATGGTTTAGGAGACTGGTCAACCATTACATCAAGATCCCTTTCTTTCATGACACTGTTAAGGTTATTCCCATCCAAATTATACTTATAATTCAAATTATGATAACCGATCTGCCATTTATTTGCCCAACTCACTAAATGATCTAAATCCTTTTGTAAATCAGCCGCATCCTCTTCACAGCTAACAACACCCAACAACTTAATATCATCTGCAAATTTAAATAGTTTATTGACCATTCTTTCATCTGTGTCATTTATCTAAATCAAAAAGAACAAAGGTCCTAAGACTGAGCCCTGAGGTACCCCACTTGTGACATTAATCCAGTTTGACTGAACTCTATTTATAACAACCCTCTGCTTTCTTACATCCAGCTACTCTTCTATCCAGTTTGCTAACTTATCCCCCACACCTATAGAGCTAATTATTTTTACAAGATATTTATGTGACACCTTGTCCAATTCTTTCTGAAAATCCAGATACACCAAATCTACACCCTTACCCTCATCTACATAGGCAGTAACCTT